GGGTGGGGCTGGGGGGCTCGCCGCCTGTCCTCCCTCTGCGGGCCTCCCTGTACGGGGGTTGGCGCCCCCTTAGTCCCTCGCGGGCTCCCTCTCGGGTTGGGCGGGTGGTTGTCTCGGGAATGCGTGGCCGTGGGCCCTTGTGCCGGGGGGGCGGCGGGGTGGCCTCGCTTGCCTGGTTCTCCTGCCTTCGCCTCGGGCCTGGGGTGGGGGGTGCTGTCGCCTCCACTGACGGCATCAAATGCCAGCACATACATGTATAAGGGTACGATCACGTGTGTGTATGCTACATATATATAATACCGATTTGTCACATTATTAATTATTATTATTATCACTGATGTTGTTATAATTCTTGTTGTTTGATGAGTGTTATGTTTCTTATGGTTGTTTGTATTCTGTATTCCTCTATACTTAATTTTTTTCCATCCCACCTACATTATTAGTGTTATTATTTCTGTATACCTTTTTTTCTCTCTCCCCCTCTCCCCATGGTCATTGATGTCTGTTATTGTTACGCTTGTTGTTTCTGTATCCCACCCTGTTTTTCTTTTTTTTCCTTTTTCCACGGTACTGGTGAGTTCGGAGCGGCCACACTCTTTGCTCTTGAATGTAATGTAAAATAAAGTTGTCCTCCGAAGAGGGGGGGTGGTGGTGGGTAATAAAAAAAAAACAAAAAAAACAATATGTCATGTAACGGCTTGCAGGCGAATGGGAAAGCAGGTCAGCCAAGCCAGGAAGTCGAATAAAGAGGTTTTATTCGTAGACAGGACCGGGGGAAGCACACGTACAAACGTCAATGACAAATCTGGAGAAGACTGACTCAGACGAGGACTAAATACACAAGACAAGCTAAGGGTAACGAGCAACAGGTGAGAACAATCAGGCAGAAACAGGAGGTAACGAGGTGGGCGTGGCACACATTAGGATCGGACGGAGCTGGGCGTGACAAATATCAGATCAAACAGACAGCAGAGTTGGCAGTATGGGCACACTGCTGGTCTCAGATCAGTAGGGTGTGGGACCCCCCTGGCCTGGATATATGCGGCGATATGGTGCGGAAGGGAATTCAAACTGGTAGCCCTTTGTATGGCTCAGTACCCGTGAAGTAGCTCTCAGTTTCAAAAAGGTTGGTGAGCCGTGCTATAAATAACAGTGAATTATTTTATTTCTGTTAACTCTGCATAGTCACTGCATCATATTTATCGCTTTCAATAGCAGTTTTTCATTTTTCATTCCATCTACCAATAAACTGTGAAAAGGATTTTATTGTTGCTACTTTTCTTGCGTTTCAAACTGCCTTTCCAAAGTGATGGGTGTGGGGTGCAGTGACATTCCAGATTGATGGGCCATTGACAGCATGCAAACTACTACAGGTGTGGGGCCACCTATCCCATCAATATTCATTGTGCAGGCCACTGACTTTGAGAAAAAGAGTGTCACTCCAAAGTTCTAACACTTTAGTAATCAAACCACATAACATTTCAGAATGTCTCTTTCACCTATGTGTAGCCAACCCCTGTGTCTATAAGCTTCAGAGCTCAAAGTTTTTGGCTATAAATGTTTATAATGTGATTTTTTACAAATTCTCAGCATGTCTGAAAATAGATTTTTGAAAAGTATATGTTTAAAGTTGATTTTAACAAAAAATAGAATAATAACATTCTAAGTGGTCTCAGATTATTGGTGCTGAGTTTGTGCTGAATAAAAGCAAATGTAACACTTTGGGATAAATGTTTCTATAGATAGGTGAAATATTGTCAAGGCATGTCAGACTACCCCGAAAGTGGCTGAGAGGCCTCAGACTCCAGAGGGTGAGAACATGGGTTTATTTTTTAATTCTTTTACGCAAATTTGGTTTTGGGGAATACTTATGTAAATCCATTCTAACTCTTTCTCAAAATGGAAATTGCTCGATGAAACTGAAATATGGCACATCACCACGTTTTTGGTTATCATGTGATGTCCAGCAAGGTTGCCCTCTGTCTCATTTGTTTGCAGTTATCATGTGATGTCCAGCAAGGTTGCCCTCTGTCTCATTTGTTTGCAGTTATCATGTGATGTCCAGCAAGGTTGCCCTCTGTCTCATTTGT